TTTCCACCTGTAGATGCCGAACTGATCAGTATTAACGGGAGCGATACTTTTACCAGAACTCAGACTTTACCAAACAAAGAAAAGGTAAGAATCCGAGCTTAACTTCTATCTCAGCAGGTGTTATTTATTGTTCACGATTGTGCGAGTTTTCCTCATTTCGACAAAATTTTGAGTTTAGCTAAAAAACTAAAATGTAACAGCTGAAATTTGAGCTGTTATTTTTAATAAAAATTTCCTGTTCCGTTGAAATACATTGTTTCAACGTTCACGCTAGATTCACTATTGCAAGTTTGTTCAGGGTACTGGCCGCGGTGCTGAAAGTCGGGATAGTCCTTTGTCTCCTCACTTTACGTGTTTGTATTTATTTTAATTTGTACACATCTATACACAATTGATATGAATATATATCACTTAGAACCATGCTAATATATATATATATATATATATATATATATATATATGTATATATATATGTAAAGTCTAGAACTCTAATATCGATTTGGAAATAATTGCCAAAATAATATTTAATACAAAGTGGATTTTCTTTCAATTTGATGATTTGAATTTCAAATGTAGCACATTGTTACATTTATAGATCCCCTTTTGCAGAATCTCTGTCAAAGATACACGATCGAAGAGAGAAGAAAAATATTAAAGAACTCTTCTGGATCTAGAAAAAAATTTAATAAATTAAAATTATTCAGTAGGTTTGGAAATATACATTATTTTTTTTTAAAAAAAATAAGCTATACCGCATATAATGTTGAAATTAAACGTTTGCCACAGGGTGTAGGTTTTGCACTTGGCCACACGAGGACATTGTAGACCGTCACATCTGAAATGCATGTCTGATTTAACGGAACTCCTCCCAGACTCTGATGCAGATGACGTTTCTTCTACGTTTGAAACAAAGGGAAGAGAAGCTTTAAACAGACCAACTCTGCCGCAATCATTGGGTTTTTGTGAAGGTGTTTACAGTATTATCGTTTTTTAATTCTCGAAGAGAATTGCCTCAATTACTCTGTATTTTCACAGAAGGATTTTGAATATATGTTTCCCATGCATTTATGGCAACATGATTCTTCCGGGGAGGACCAGCTCTGTATGGATATACTTCGTCTTTGTGCTGCTGCTTTGCTGCTGGGAAGCGGCTCTAGGACAGCTCTCTTACTCCGTATCCGAGGAGGTAAACCAAGGGACCGTGATCGGAAATATTGCCAAAGATCTCAACCTAAATGTTAAGGATCTGGACACTCGTATGTTCCAGATCGTTGCAGGATCGAAGAAAAAATATTTTGAGGTAAATCTAAAGACTGGTGCTCTTTATGTCAATGAGAGAATAGATCGAGAGGAACTGTGCGGTGATGAAGCAAAATGCTCGATAAGTGTAGAAGCAGTTCTTAATAATCCTCTAAAACTGCACCGTATTGAAATTCTAATTCTAGACGTAAATGATAATTCTCCTAGTTTTCTTATTGATCGTCAAATGATTAACATCAGCGAAAACACGGCAGCAGGAACTAAATTTCCGCTGCATCCAGCCCATGATGCGGACATTGGCAAAAATACAGTACAAACCTACAGACTTAGTCAGAATGAACACTTTTCTCTAGTAGTACAAAAAGGAGAGAGCGCAACGCCTGAACTGGTAATTCAGAAGGTGTTAGACAGAGAAAAGCTGTCTGCGATTCGGCTCATATTGACTGCTGTAGATGGAGGAACGCCTGCAAAATCAGGCTCCATGGTAGTTATCGTAAATGTGTTGGATATTAATGATAACGCCCCTGTTTTCAGTCAAGCTCTGTACAAAGCCAGAGTGTATGAGAACGTAAAACTCGGTACGCGAATTATAACATTAAACGCTACCGACTTAGATGCAGGAAAAAATGGACACGTAACATATTCATTCAGTGAAGTAGGTCGCGGTAAACAGACTGAGGTCTTTGAAATTAACCAAGATACCGGAACAGTGACAAACAAGAAGAATATAGACTATGAAGAGACTAATGCTTTTGAGATTCGAGTTCAGGCCAGTGACGGAGCTTCCTCACCTATGACTTCAAATGCTAAATTACTTATTGAAGTATTAGACGTGAATGACAACGCTCCTGAAGTTACCGTCACTTCCCTATTAAATACAGTGAAAGAAGATGCATCCATTGGCACCGCGATTGCTCTTGTTTCTGCATTCGATAAAGATAGCAGTAAAAATGGAATAGTGAACTGTGAAATTTCAGACAACATCCCTTTTAAACTAGAGTCAAACTATAAGAATTACTATTCTTTAGTTGTGGATGGACCTCTGGACAGAGAACGAGCAGCTTACTATAATATTTGCATCACAGCCACAGACGAAGGGAGCCCAGCTCTTTCAAGCTCCAGTGTCATTATTGTTCATGTCTCTGATGTAAATGATAACAAACCTCATTTCACAGAAGACATTATAAACATATTCATAAAAGAAAACAGTGCAACAGGAACAGTTATTAAAAAAGTGTCAGCAGTGGATGCAGACACTGATCAAAATGGTCAAATTAGTTATTCCCTTTTACACGATAATAG